CAAGATGTATATTTCAAAGATATTTCAAGCTCGTTCAGGCGACACAATGGCATACCTCTGGTATTACGTGTGTATTGAGTTTTTTCTTTTCTAATAGACAAACATATATATGTTCATATTTTGAAATGTAACTAACTTCACTTTCATTGTGTTGAACTGCAAGTTCATAGCGTATGTAATCTTACAATCGATTGTTGACGCTTGTTTCAGTAAAGGAAAATGCATAATCTCCTTGACGATTGTTTGTTTGGCGTTGATTTTGGAGTGAAAAATCGAAAACGAACATTTTCGTCATCTTTTTTGCTGTATTACTTTTCAAAAATGGGGAAAAACGCTTTAATTAATTTAAAAAAATTATCTAACGAATGTGTAGAATATGGCGAAGGAGACTTCAAACTACGGCACTGGCGGAATTGCTAAATTTCACTATTGACGAGGATATCAAATCGTTCTTAAAACTTTTGTCAAAAAAATAAGCACTTTTTTGAATTATAAATTTGCCTGAAAGATGGCAAAAAGTAATCGAACAAAATGGTCAAAAGGACCAATTGATAATTTTTGTTAGATATTTTGTGGACAAAAAACATTATATTTTTATATGATTTGTAAAATACATAAATAAAACCTTGTTGTATTACAAAGACTTTCTGTTTCTTCCGCTTTAATAACGTCTCTGATGGAAATTTTACGGTTTTTCATTTCTCGCGAATGAAATTTTCGTTTCTCGTGAAAAATTCGCCTTTCATTTGTACACAGAAAAAAAAAAAAAAAAAAAAAAGAAAACGCAGTCACTTTTTGGCCAACCTAATACATACGTCATGTGCCCACGTAAGTGTCCACAGTCGAGACCGAAAATGGACTCTTAAGAGGGGTAGTGTATTCTGCGAATTGGCATCGAAAGAAAGAGTAGTGATGATAGTCCCAATTCCAAAAATTGGCGAGCACAAGCAACGGACGCTTACGTATCCAGGAAGTGTGGTCACTTATGAGGGCATAGTAGTAAACCATGAAGTACTTACTGTACTTCTTGAAGCAGATACCGTGTGAACTTTGTTTGTCCTTTTTGTGCAAATAGAATTCCCTTCGAATGATCGAAAATCCTGACGTATCCCTTACGCTCTCACTGAGAGTAACAAAAGACGAGCCGAACGACCGATTCACGAAAATTGTAGAAAGTCGGAAAGAAAAGTGGTCTCGCTTTGTTTTGCCCAACGATGAAACTTCCGAGTAACTGTATGGTATTATTATTATTATTATTATTATGATCATCATTATAGACGGTTATGTGCACGCGGTTGTAGTGGCAAAAACGGGGCCTGAAAAATAGAGAGGTTAAAAAAAGGGGAGGGGAGCGGGTAAGGAGTGGAGGGGGGAAGGGAGCGGCAAGATGGCGGGGTGGAGGCGCGGGTGAGAAAAGAGAGCGCGCTTAGCATGCGAGCAACGTAGTAATTGGCACGTCTTGCCGAGAGAGACACACCAAATGCTCTTTCGAGGTTACAAGTGCAATGCACTGTTGCGTTCGCTGTACACTGGTGCTTGCACCAGCTGAATGTTTATGCCGATGTAACGGTGTGTCCAAGGAAACGTATTCTATGAATAGGCAGGGCGTATTTTTAAAAGCGCGTCCGAGGTGGGGGACTCGGGGTGCCGCTTACAATCGAAAACAACGCGACACGTTTCTCTCGTTCCCGAGCGTTCCTCTTCCTCATTAATCTTGCCTATTTCGCTGCTCTTCGTTGATCTTGCCCATCTTACCCTATTTACCATCTGTCGCTAAATGTTTTCGAAGTAATAAAGATTCTGGAAAAAACTGTGCAGCAATTTCCCAAACGATCAGATTGTTCCTTAGGTGTTACGTTAGATATTGTTTTATTAGATTTTACGTTCATTCAAGTCCGAGTGAAAAATGCAGGGAATCCATCTTAACACTTTAATCGGCCGGTAGGCACGCTCGTAGTGTTTCGTCTCTTACCGACTGACAGTAAACGGTGATTAAATTTGATAACTTCCAATGCTTTCTCGAAATACCCCCTGAAAATTTTGTTAAAAAATAATGCCTTTTTGAAAATAATTTTGTCGAATGAAAAGTCGAGTAGGAAACGGCTGAGCACCGAACGTGTTAACGTACGACAGTTAAATTTCTCTGGCCTAATATTCAACTGTGTCACCTCGATTGTTCGATTGTTAGCGAGCTGATTCGAGCCTGATTCGATGACTTTGCTTTGTCGATGGGACGTAAATGCGCAACGCGACTGTGGTCACGGGTCTGTTTCCATCTCGTCGAAATCATGTGCTAGGAAACACCGAGAAGGAGCAACAGGAAGAAAAGAATACGCAGCAGAGACAGACTGAAGAGAGGCAGCGAGCGTTGCCTCGTTTGAGAGAGAGAGAGAGAGAGAGAGAGA